ATGTTTTTATTACATATGTGTTTTATTACAGATGTATATCCGCATGCTTAGGGGGGTTTGTTAAAAGTCAATAGGAGCAGGGGAGGCAAGAGAGATGCGGATTTTGTAATATCGGCGTGGTTTACTATTTTTTTTTACTACAAATTTTTTCCTCATCCAATATTTTGAGGAGACGCTGCCTCCTTGGAAAAAATGCCCCGATAATATATATATTTTGTACTTCAGTAAGGGTTTTTGGCCCAAGGGGTCATGGTTTAGCTGATATATATCAGTCAAACCATGACCCCTTGGCCCAAAACCTTTACTGAAGTACAAAAAGATGTATCAGCACTATCTTACTGAGATTAAGAGCAGTAACACTTTTTTACCTCATATTTGAACTCTGATAAGTACGGTCACAGCTGAAGCACTTGTTCCTCATTTTATTTTTGCTTCTGTCCTGTTTTAGACCCAGAAGTATGGACACAAGACCATGTGCGGCAGTGGGTAGAGTGGGCAATAAAGGAATACGGCCTTTCCGATGTGGACGCGTCCCTCTTCCATACTCTGGATGGAAAAGCGCTCTGCAAAATGACCAAAGAGGACATGATGCGTCTCACTACCGCATACAATACAGACATCCTGCTCTCCCATCTAAACTACCTCCGGGAGAGTAAGGAACTTCGCCCATAATTCCATATGAATAATCCATTACTAATTGTTAATTTGGTCAAGAAAACATCAGGAAAATCTATAAAGCGACTTTAATCATTTCCATTTCTAAATGCATTGTTAGTACATTGTGGAAAAGTTTGTGCCTATTTATATATAAAGTAAATTAAGAGGGCTTGATTTCTTTACTATTGTTTACTCAGGTAGCCCCACTTTTTCCTACCCTGCAACCCCTACCAATACAGAACCACAGCCTAGACTACAGGTTAAAGCTGGTAAGTCAAACTTTTTACTTCTATTTTTAAGATAAAATTTAGTTTTATATATATTTCTGACTGTAAATTCTGATTGGATGAGCTGAATTTGCAACCTCTGTCCGAATGTACACCACATTTTATATTAGTGCAGCAAAATGAGATGTTTCTTGTAACTGTAATGATCCTAAAGTTATTCCAGTGAACTATAAGCAATTTTGTGCCTAATAATATTCTTCTTATTAATTTTAATCAACGCAACTATTTACTAAACACCTATTGCATCATAATGCGGTTTCCACCCTATGATAAGTCACATGGTTATTTTTAGCTATGCTAAAATTCTTAAAGGGGTAGTTCACCCTAAAAGAAGATATTTTTAAGAATGTTGGTTACCGAACAGTTGCCAGTAGCCATTAACTTCTGCAGCATGGAAAAATACAATGGAAGTCTATGGCTACCGACAAGTGTTTGGTTACCAACATTCTTCAAACTGAAATATTTTTTTGTAAAAAAATAACTCCAATAAGTTATTGTACTGATAAAATGCCAATGGCTAAGATAGAGTCTAGAGAGGTCCTATGAGGACTGTAGTTTGTTTCTTCAATGAATTTTGCCCCAAGTGTTGCAAGGTTTTTGAATCGTTGCACTTTCAGACAGGAAACAGCTGCATCAGGATAGGAAGTAAGGGGTGTAGAGCTCAGGTTAGGATACAATTGACTATTCTGTGGTAAAGAGAATCAGTTAGAACAAAAGGACAATCGCCCTGAGGAATTGTGTGCCATCTTCAGGCCTTCTTACGGTTTTGCTGCTGGCTTTGTTCTGCCCTGCGTTTCTCCTTAGGGATCTTTAATGCAGGGCTTCCTTCCTTCTGCGGCTGCCCTTCTCCTTACTCTTTAAAGCCATCCTTTCCTGTAAAATCTCCCTTTTGTTAACTGCTCCTATCTGACTTTGCCTCGGCACAGAAAACAGCTTTGAGGAGATCGGCAGAAGGAACAGTTGGTCCTCAAGCGCCTTACCAGCTGTCCCAAAAGGTTGCTCTGCATTCACAAAAACACCATAATGTTACATAATTATATTGCACAAATATGAAATGTTAAAAAAAAATAATAATTAACTCACCTCTTTAAAAATCACAGGTTCTCCAAACGAACATCAGCACAACACCAGAATTACAGAGCCTCCACCAAGACTTCCACAAGGTCGACAAGTGCCCCTTTAATTTAATACTCTATGAAATTGCTTTTAATGATCTTTTTGTTAAACTACACCTCAAAATATCTAATCAGTATTGTACATTTCCATCTTTGCAGACCCCTACCAAGCATTAGGTCCCATCAGCAGCCGTCTTGCAAATCCAGGTAAGAAGTGACTAATCAGAAAACTGTATAAGCTTCAGTCAAATTAACAAATGTGGCCTTTTTAGGGTATGTTATCTTTGGATGCACAGACTGGGCACAAAGTTTTGCCCTTTTATAATTGAATAATAAATGAGATTAGACCATATATGTGTTCAGTTATATCAGTTATATGATAACTGAATACCTGTTGTTAATATAATCTGGACAAATTAAACATACCCAAGACAAAATTAAATTATATTTTCATTAGTTAATTTTTTTAATAATTGAAATAACACATACATTTATCATTAAAAAGTTTGAGGTCAGTTAGATTTTTTTAAAGAAATTTGTACTTTTATTCAGCAAAGACATTAAAGATCAAAAGTGACGGTAAAACGTTTACATTTGGGAAAAGAAAAAATCTATTGCTGCACAGTTTCCACAATATATAAAATAATAAGCACCAAATAATAATAATAATAATAATAATAATAATAATAATAATAATACGCATCATGTAACACTGAAGACTGGAGTAATGGCTGCTGAAAATACAGCTTTGCCATCACAGAAATAAAATTACATTTTAAGATGTATTTCAATAGAAAACCAATATTTTAAATTGTAATATTTAAAAATGTTACTGTTTTTATTGTATTTTTGATCAAACAAATACAGCCTTGGTGTGCATAAGAAACTTTTTAAAAACATAAAAAAAAAAAAAAAATTTTACTGACCCCAAACTTCAATTTACATTTTTAAATACTGCCCGTCACCAGCACTGACAGGACTGTGGGTAGGTGTCTGACCGACCCACACTCTGTTTCTGTGTACAACATACATTAAAAAGGTCACATTTGGAGAAAACAACCTGCCCTAAAAAGCCCTTCCATCCGCTACTAAAAATCTCTGACACTCTTTATTTTCACACAGGCTCTGGTCAGATCCAGCTGTGGCAGTTCTTGTTGGAGCTGCTGTCTGACAGCAACAATGCCACCATCATCACCTGGGAGGGCACTAACGGAGAATTCAAGATGACCGACCCAGACGAGGTAGCCAAGCGCTGGGGGGAGCGAAAGAGCAAGCCTAACATGAACTATGACAAGCTCAGCCGGGCCCTCCGCTACTACTATGACAAGAACATCATGACCAAGGTGCATGGCAAACGCTATGCATACAAATTCGATTTCCAGGGCATCTCCCAAGCCCACCAAAACCATCCTCCAGAAGGGGGCGTGCTCAAATACCAGGCTGAAGTGCCATATGTACAAAGCTACCACAGCCACCAGCCAAAAATGAACTTCATGGGCACTCATTCAACCCCTATGCCCGTTTCCACTGGGAATTTCTTTGGGCCTCCAACCACCTACTGGAACTCTGCAACAGGAGTGGTGTATCCCAGCTCACCCATGCCACGACATCCCAGCACTCACTCTCATTTGAACTCTTATTACTAAAACAGTCTAACTATAAAGCCCTGGATTTCATACGAGAACAGAGTATAACAAAACAGCAACTTTTCAGGAATCCTCATCCAATGCAAATCCTTTGTAGCAATTCCAAACAGTTCTCCATCTCACTGCATTTTTTGTACAGTATATATATCTATATATATATATATATATGCATATCAAACAAAGCTGTACGTCTTCTGGGCTAAATTGTAAATAGGTCTTGCATGTTTCATACAAGGCATTGAAAAGACTGCTCTGACATTCCCCAAAAGCATGCATACTCATCTCTGTTTTAAAATGTAATATTCCTTTGTAAGCATGTACTTTGTACAGTCTTTTTTTATCAAATAACTTCACTCCCCTAAGTGTAACATTATATTTCAAACCAATAAAACATGTAGCTCACTTAACGCATCTGTGAATTTTATTATTGTCTTTTTTTTTTTTAAATAGACATTACCAAAAATCTATTCACTACAAAGAATATCCCTTTCAAAATGTTTGCGCTCAACCATTTTCTTTCTTAATTTGGAGAACATAACATCTAAAGAACCTTTTTTCACTACTAAAAACCATTGTGTTTTGCAGTGTAGTGTCGTTTTTGGGTGCTTTATCTATTTACAGTAGCAAATCCCAAGGCACAATTGTCTCACAGACTCACACTATACTAGTGATACGTTATCAAAAAAATTACATCATGTACAATGGCATCATATATTTATTAACAAATCAAGTCCAATTTAACTGAAAACTCAATCATAAATGTCTTTATTTAATCCTTTTAGTCCAATCCAAATACCTCCTCAAATATTCGGCGTGGCTCCACAAATTTGTCGACTTCCTCCATCACACCCAGGTCTGGCACAAAATGACGAGGTCCAATCTCAGCTGTCTGTGTGGTTATTACTTCAACAAAGCCTGTTCCCACCTCTTCTGTCATGAATGGAGATGTTTGCTTTTCCTCGACAATGTCCAAATCAGACTCCATGATCCAGGGCTCACTGGTGATGACCTTACTGGACACTATAAATTAATTCATAAAATAGGGCTTGACGTAAATCTGAGATTCTAAAGTCAGAGAACAGGTTCACTAAAATCTTATAAAACCTCCATGATGTGGCAAGACTTTCCTGACAGCTTAGCAAGCATTATTGTATTTACTCTCAATGCAGTGCTATGAAAAGATATATATTCCAACAACAACAACAACAACAACATACTCTGCCCTAAATTGTCCTAAAATCACTTGACATTTCTTACCAGACAGGTCAGAAGACAGACATGTGGAGTCGCAGCAGAGGCACACATCATTTGAACCGTATAACTCTTCCCATCTGAAGAATTTATCCAAATTAATACTAGTTCAGTTCTGAAAATAGCACTCACAGTACAACCAAAATTCAATATACCGTTTTGTTGACTGGTTGTAAGTGCAGGACTTTGCACTTGATGTTGGTTTAAAACTTCCGACGGCTATTTCACAATGCATGTAAAGATGCTGAGAATAAAACAACCTCAATAAATTGACTCAACTGATAAGTCAATCTTTCATCAAAAATCACAAACCTGACCCTTTAATTGGAAAAAGCAACATTTTTCTGAAATTGTATTACATCAGCATGCCATTTTAGCTCATTATATCACCTCTCCCAACATCCCATGAAACAGAAATGCATCCACGGAGAACCGCACAACATTTCTTTGTCCACTTTGGATGAATTTGGACCACGTACTGCTCTTGCTATCAGTCATGCACCTGAAATAAAAAGAGCATACATGTAATGCCTGGCATGAAATAATAAATAATTAGAAAAGTACTTTTTTTCTAATGGAATAGTTAATTGAACATTTAGACAAAATATTAAAAGAAACATAAAAAAGTTTGCATGAACATATGTTACATCAGGCTTATATGGCTCATATAGTATAATATAGGAAAATATGCAGCTCATACTTGAAGGAAAAAACACCTCACTTTTATTCAAACTCCCAAATTGAGCAAAAATATACAATTTTGGTGCAGCTGCTGTTATTTATATGGCCAAAAAGTAAAATAAAATTTTGATAGCTTGTAATGGAAGTCAATAAAATCTTTGTAACAGTATAGCAGACTACCTACATAATACAAATAAATATCAGCTGCCAATCTATATCTCCAATAGTCTCAGCCTGACATCACGCCCAGAGACCATTGGCTGAACGTCTGATGCATACAGCACACAAAAGTGGAAACACTTCAGGAGTTTCGAAGTCGTCATCGGATTGGTTGAATTATATAGGATTTCCGGGAGACATGTGTGTCGCGTTCTTTAACGTTCCGCCTGGAAACAAAGATGCCATGACGCCAAACCCTCTCACGAAATAAGAAAGCCGTCGTGTTTACAACTGTGACAATCAACTAAACTCTGGGTTTTCAAAAGTGTGTGAAATATTTAACGTTTGCGGCATAGAATCTTTAAAATGTGTCCCGAGAGTTTTACACACTGGTCTGTTATTGTGGCGACATTTCCACGCCCCGAAACGTGACGCTGAACGAAACGAACTGTGATTGGTTGTTTGACATGTCTGTCAAACGGCCTCATGGGTATATATATAAGGTTATATAATGTTTGCAAAGCCTTATTGTGAACGTATTGTTTGAAATGATACAAATTAAAAAGTAATAGATAACAGACAGACATAAGCTACATTCTGGCGGAGTATAGGCTACGTATCCAAATTATTGTTATTTAACGCAGTGCGTTATGCTGCTTAATACCAGACTGACATTTGTTACAACCATTTTAATTACAGTTTACTGCACTTTGTTATTTAAGAGGGAAAAAATAGGAAACTAAAGAAAAAAATATATTAGCCAAGCACACCTTTCTCTTACTTTCACACTTGTCCATGTCGTAAATAAACACATGATAGTGTTTTGTAGTCTTGCTGATGTCGCATGTTCCCAGTTTTAACTCTGAATGAAGGCCGTCGATGCCTAAAATGTGTTTGTGAACTTTAACGATCATTTTCTTCATTTGACAAACGACGGTTACTCCTTGTGATCGGCCGCGGCGGCGGGAGGCCTCAGGTAACGTTACCGCGGTGCGCGGGACGAGGACTTTTTTCGTCTCCTCGGGCAGTTGTTCACGGCCTGATCCATGCATCGGAGAGAACTGCTTTTTGTCCAAAAGCTGGATTCTTGAATGTTGGAAAACGGGAAGTTGTAAATATGGCGAGCCGAGACTCTTCACAGCAGATCCGTCTAAATCTTTTTCAAATTTTTCGTCCAGCGCCGAGGTCGAATTGCTCGCGTGCTTTGACGCAGATCGTACGGCGTACACATATGTGGAGGACAAGACCAGTAAAGTAAATATTACTGGGAAATAGAGCTTCATATCTCTAAACTGCATCAAATAAATGGTAATAGTCGCTATTTTACTCAAACAGTGTTGGTAACATTGACATATTTCTCAGAGCTGAAATGGGTAATTAATGCACCTGTCGCCTGTTTCACTAGTGATGGAAGACCGATTCATTTCCACGAATCGGTTCTTTCGAGCAGGTTTCAAAACCGATTTAGCGCATTTTACGTTATGCCGTGATCCCTGACGGAAATCGGTGACAAGTGTTTATTTATTTATTTATTGGGTTAACAACAGACATATGACAACATAAATCAATTAAACAATTTTTCATCATATATATATATATAATCATACATCTAATACATCAGGGCTGTCCAAACTCGGTCCTGGAGGGCCGGTGTCCTGCAGAGTTTAGCTCCAGCTTGCCTCAACACACCTGACTGGAAGTTTCTATGCCTAGTAAGAGCCTGATTAGCTGGTTCAGGTGTGTTTAATTAGGGTTGGAGCTAAACTGCAGGACACCAGCCCTCCAGGACCGAGTTTGGACAGCCCTGTAATACATTGATTATCTTTTTTAGTGGTTCAGTAAATTCGTGCAAGTCGCCTTTTGCAAGAAATAATGTTTTTAGCTTCCCAAGCTCTATTGCTGGGTATATCATTCGGTTTGTGTTTTACATTTCTGATTGTTATTTATGCTTTAAATAAATACACTAATAAAATCTAGTTGCTATTGAGATTTGTTGGCTTTAATAGTAGCCATATTCACTCTGGTGATGTCTAATCTCAGTTTTCTCATAATCTAAAGCATTTTGGTCTGCTGCGAACACATGGAGACACACAGCAGAGTTGCCGAATCCGACAAGGCAGCATAGCCTTGAGGTTACCAAAATCAAATTCACTCTGGTGATGTCTAAAATCCTGTTTTATACCCTAGAAAGCATATTACTCTAATGTGAACAGCAACAGACATACAACAGGATCTCCAAATCCAACAGCACAGTATTTAAAAGTTACCATCCAGACTTTCAGCCGTCAGTCTGAAGGTCTGGCTACGCGAGACTATATCTCCAATAACAGGTCTTAAGACGATATTTCAGTGCTTTGGTATATAATTAAGCTTTGTAGTTTATATTGTGGGAATAAAACATATAATGCAATGCAGTACAGTAATGATTAAGAGGTGTACAATTAAACATTCTACAATTACACTATAAGGCATTTTACTTGCTAAAAAAAGTATAAACTATCATTCACACAACAGAAGGCATGTTAGTAGATTGCTGAACAGTTTTTCCATCCAAATTTTGATGTTGATAATTAGAAGGCCTTAGAAATTTGCTTATCAAAAATGACACTGTAGGCACAATAAGGGCTAAATGAACAAAGTGTTACCCGTGGTTTTCAATGACTGTAAATCGTGGCATGGACAAATGAGAACTGCTGATAGTCACATAACAGGAATCCACAAACAGCCTCTCGTCCTCAGCAAGAGGGGGTCCGTCTGCTTGGAAGTACATGGGGTGACCAATGGTATACTCTTCGGTGGGCGATAACCTTCTCCACAGCTCTAAAAGACCGGATGGTGATGATTCATTGACTGATATAGAATGGAGTACTCATCTTATTAGTCAAACCTTGTTTACCATCACGGGGTGTGAGTACAACACTGTCCACAGTTCTCAGGGGTTTGAAGTAGTTCTGATATCTGACTTGTGGTATGTAACCAATTTTGTACGAGTAATGATATCTGGAGAAAAAAAACAAACGGGGGTTAGATTGTTAAAAAAAGTAAATCAGTGATTAACAGGCACACAAAATTGACACAAAAAGGTACTGCAAGTGGAACACATACACTGAAAAAAAGGTTTGTCTTACTTGATATTTTTGTCTTGTTTCTAGTCAAAATGTCTAAAAAATTCTTAAATCAAGATGTATTTACTAGATAAGCAAAAAGGATGTTAGATGGACATTAGATATTTAGTCTTGTTTCAAGGGGAAAAAAAACTAAATTAAGTGCAGTCTGCCAGTGGGGTAAGTAAAATACTCGTTTTAAGAATATTTTACTTACCCCACTGGCAGATCATTTTACTTGTTTTAAGCAAAATGCACTTAATTTGCTGTGAAATTATCTTTGTCTTTTTGAATGCAGTTAATAGACAATAGAGTAACATATTACTCGGTTCAAAATGACATAAGATATTTAGTCGGTTCCCCCGCCCCCCCCGCCCCCCGGAACCGACTAAATATCTTATGTCATTTTGCTTATCTAGTAAACGCATCTTAATTTAAGACATTTTTGATATTTTGACTAGAAACAAGACAAAAATACTAAGATAAGCTTTTTTTTTTGCAGTGCAATCAACACATCGATATGTACATCGAAAGACAGATTTACCTGTTAAAGTGACACTCAACAGGTATTGAGAAAGGCATGGCACGGCGGATTGGACCTAGGTCCATCACTGGAGAGTAGCGCAGTACGTTGGAATACGTTACTCTATTGTCTATTAACTGCATTCAAAAAGACAAAGATAATTTCACAGCAAAGTTTATCAAGTGAAGCCCTGAGTTGAACTGAGCAAAATGATTTTTTGAGCCTTAGCGCTATAATGAGTCTCCTTCCTTTTATTTTTAGACATTTTTTTCATACCATTCTTTTTTTATCCATCCATCCATCCATCCATCCATCCATACAGTAGTCAACATTTGAAGTGGACAAAAAAAAAAGTTAATCAAAGTTGTCCTAAGACAAGAACTGGTATTGTTTTGGTTTTAGGACAACTTTGATGTAAGGTTTTGATCCACTTCAAATGTTGACTACTTATATATAGAGAGAGAGCATGCATTTTTGTTATTTTTCATGATTGTTTTGCTGTAAGAGCCTGACTGGAAGTTTCTATGCCTAGTAAGAGCCTGATTAGCTGGTTCAGGTGTGTTTAATTAGGGTTGGAGCTAAACTGCAGGACACCAGCCCTCCAGGACCGAGTTTGGACAGCCCTGTAATACATTGATTATCTTTTTTAGTGGTTCAGTAAATTCGTGCAAGTCGCCTTTTGCAAGAAATAATGTTTTTAGCTTCCCAAGCTCTATTGCTGGGTATATCATTCGGTTTGTGTTTTACATTTCTGATTGTTATTTATGCTTTAAATAAATACACTAATAAAATCTAGTTGCTATTGAGATTTGTTGGCTTTAATAGTAGCCATATTCACTCTGGTGATGTCTAATCTCAGTTTTCTCATAATCTAAAGCATTTTGGTCTGCTGCGAACACATGGAGACACACAGCAGAGTTGCCGAATCCGACAAGGCAGCATAGCCTTGAGGTTACCAAAATCAAATTCACTCTGGTGATGTCTAAAATCCTGTTTTATACCCTAGAAAGCATATTACTCTAATGTGAACAGCAACAGACATACAACAGGATCTCCAAATCCAACAGCACAGTATTTAAAAGTTACCAAAATCTATTACCAATCTTTCTTTTTACACAGAATGGCTTTAATTTTACCCAAATTCACTCTGCTGATGTCTGACCTCCTTGGTTTTATATAAGCATTTTTGTCTTATGAGAACAGATGCCGATACAGAAGGTTCACCAAATTGGACAAGGCAGTGTAGGTTACCGAAATATGTTACCCTAATGATGTCTAAACCTTTTATCTGTATTTTAAAATGCATTTTCGTCTGATGTGAGCAGATACAGACATGCACAGCATGGCCATCAAATCTGACAGTACATTAGAGATTGCCGAAATCTGTTACTGCTCTTTATTTTCAAATGTGTCTGTGCTCCATATTCATTCACGTCTAATCTCGTCAGGGAATTCTCTTGAGGTTTTATTCCTGTGATTTATGAACACATTTAGACAGAAGATCATAATGTGGATTTTCTTGATGCATTTTAATTTTTTTATTTTGGGGTAAAATATGAACTGTGAGATTATCCCTTTAAGAATAAGTAATTCAGTAAGAAGCATCAAAGACGTCAGAGGACATCAGAAAAAAAAAAACCTAATGATCAGTCAAAAATGTTTTAATATTCTGACGACATTACAGTGAATTTTAGCACAGTATAAAGAATGCATACTTTTCAATACAAGTACAGAAAATGTGACTACTTATATATTGAATTCAGTTGAATCCATAAAGTATGCAGAGATCTTTGGCCCCACAGATGCAACTCCAAAAAAGGTCATTCAAGGTACCTAAAACAGAAATAAATAAACACTTGAAATTATAAAGTGACGGCTAAATTCATTATAAATGAAATAAACTGTCATACCTTGGAGACCCTGGAACGACCTCAAAAGTCAGTCCTCCATTTCTCCCACATCAGGATAGTTAGTGTTTATCTCGATTCCACTCCACTGATTCATGTTTAGCATTTAAAAATATCTCTTCATCCATCACTATTTGTGATGGACCTATTGTATTTTGTACTTGAATGTTCTTCTCAAAATCTTCAGGTTGTATTTTATCTTCGGACAGTTCTTCTCTGGTAATGAGAATTATTTCTTGTGCTCCACTCTTGCTGGATGCTTGGTCATTATTAACATCTTCCGAAAGCTCTTCCATGAACTGAACACTAGGCCGTTCAACAATTTCAGTTCTACTTGTTCTCTCGTGTCTCCCAGCATCCTCTTCAATCTTTACAACCCTGTTCTTCTGCTCCCTAACAAGCATTACTTTTCCAGAACGATCACCCTTTTTATCCTTTAACTCTGTAGTTGTTTCCACTGTCCCAACAATTACTTCTACATCCTCATCTAAATCATTCATGGGCATCTTTTTATGTTTCTCTTTTGCTTCTGTTTGTTCTTCAGTATCTGTCACAATCTCCACAGTGTAACCATCTTCTTCCTCTTCATCGATTCCTTCTGCACTCTTGAACTTCATCTCTTCTGTGTCCTCTTGAACATTGACCCACCCTTCCATAGTCTGGATTAAAGATTGTTCGTTTTTGTCCAAAATCCAGGGTTTGCTTGTTATAGATTGTGTCACATGGGGCAAAGAAGCTGTTATGGAAGCAAGAACAAAACACTGATGTGTGACTAATAGTGTTTTCATTTGATAGTCTCTGATATTTTCTACTTACAAGATGATTCAATTTCACATGTGGAATCACAACAAGCACAAACAGATGCGTCGGTGTAGAGTTCCTCCCACCTGTTGGTACAGGATAAGAACTAAGAATGAATGCAGCTTCTCCACATTTACACACTGTTGCATATATGTGTGAAATACAATAACTTACCTTCTTTCTACATTGTTATAGGTACATGACTTTGCTATGGCACTTGTAGTGGCACTGTGAACCGATACTGTGCAATGTAGGTAAAAGTGCTGTAGGAAATGAAGAAATCAACACACATTCATTCATATGAACTACCAAATATTGCTATAAGTTTGAGTGCATCATATAATGCTGTCAATAGTGTTCATCGTCTGTTTGATTACGTCTTGAATTGATTACGTCTTGAATTGATTTTTCCGTACATTTCTGCCATATGTACATTAACTGACAGTCACCACTGATAAGCTACCACTAAATATTGTAGAAACTTCATTTGCTGTAAAGTTGCTTTGCAACAATTTGTATCATGAAAAGCGCTATACAAATAAACTTGAATTTAATTGAATATGTATAAATATATAAACAACACACCTACATTAGACAGGGGTAGGTTGTCACGTGTTTTATATACTGTAATTTCTACACATTAAAAATTTCTGTAGGGGTTTAATCATTTCGTATGTTACTTTTTCCATTTTTGCAGTTTCATACATTTTTCAAAACAAATTTCACTTTGTTCCGTTTTATTTCCCCCCCCAAATGTTATTGTGTACAATTGGCAGAAAATGTAATTAAATCCTCTGATATGTTATGGAGGATGGCTTTTTATATTACACTGTAAAAAATGGCCGTGAATTTAACGGTAAAAGACTGTAAAAATGCTACAGTAAAAACCTGTTAAATGGTTAACGGTAAATTCCCTTCCTATATACGGTGAAAAACACCGTACATTGACATTACATGTATTAGACATTAATTTTACGATAGTATACCGTTTTTGGAAGTGAAAAAGTCCGTATAATTTACAGTGAATAACCGTAAATTGACATTCCCAGAATTCCCTGCGTTACATTTCAAATTTGATGTTTTGTTGTTGAAATAACTATGTTTCTTCTTAGTTTTTTCTTATCAGTTTTGTATATTAGGGTTGTGTGTTACACCTAATGTTGTTAAATGAATGTTTATTGCATTATTTCAGTTTCATGTGTGTTACCATGATGGTGTTTGGTGTTTGTGTGAATGACACTGTGCACCTTCTATATATGTTATTATCTAAAAGCTGCTTGTGATGGGCTTTGGTTCATCATGTGACTTTCTCATCACCACCTGCATTTGGTGGTTATCAGTGTATTACA